CTTTCCACTGGTTCATATACCCTTGCTTCCTTTCACTGCTAGCATAGTGAAATACCAAGGACCTAAGTTAGGATGTGGGCCTAAGGAAAAGGAGCTAAGGAGGAGTTCTTCTGGTGGACCAAGGTTTTCACACTCTGTCCACCGACTCTGAAGGAGGTCAAGAAGTATGTGAAGAAAATGGAAGGGAAGGGAGCTAAAGGCACAAGACTCTAGAAGCCCATGTCTTCTTCAAACAGGATTTTTTCTCTTGTTTAAAAACTCTATAATGGGCTTCCACATAGTATTCTTTTGAATGAATAGGTACATTGTTAAAAGATCAATTTAAAATCATTTGTCTATACCAAGGTTTAAAGATAAGAGGGAAGTCCTCATAACTTTAGACCAGTCCGCTAGGGTTAGGGATTCCACCTTAGTTTGGGAGCAGAATATGTTCAGCAAGAAATAGCGCACATTTGCATGGAGTGCCCCTTGCATATGTTGCTCCTCTCAAACCTACTAAGACATAGTGATATGATATCCAGGACATTTTCCTGTCAATTAATGTGAGTGGAATAAGATGAGATTCAAATTCACAGCCAGAGACTCCTTCTAGTTAACAGAAACAATGATGGAAGAGACACTAGGCATGAACCTGGGAGAGGCTTATGGACAAGGTGACTTGTTTATTGAGTCTTGAGGTTATCATTTATGTAAGACATAGAAGAACACAGTCCTGTGTCTTAGTTAATCCTTCCTAGTCTCATGCCCAGTGTCATAGAATTTCGTTTTGCTCTGTCTAAACTAAAACTAAAATTTTAGACAGCAAAACTAAAAATTGTACAAGGGTAAAATTGAAATCTTAGCTTTATTCACATTACCTTGTATCTGAACGCATTAACAGAGAGTAAATAATAAGCTCAATTATCATATTAATACTAATGGTAAGTAAAATACAATGATTTTACATATTTTGATCCAAGGTGTTAGTGTATTAGACATCCAGATGCCAATTAACCCATTTCTGACATCTCTTTATTTATCAAATTGATCATATTGTTTTCTTCTTCTTTTCCAGGGTGATTCTGGAGGTCCTCTGGTTATTGCACATGATAGAAACGCCTGATACCTTGTTGGAATAGTAAGCTGGGGGATAGACTGTGGAAAAGAAAACAAGCCGGGACTCTATACCAAAGTGACTCATTATCGAGACTGGATTAAATCTAAAACTAACATCTAATGCAACAATCATCTCAAATCCAAACTATAAATGTCATGTGTGGTCTCTAGAAAATTGTGTTTAGTGTGTGTCACCATGTGTATTATCTTCGAGTTCAAAATCCAAAAAAGTGTGATCTAATGACTTTCCCCTTAAACACAGAGAAGGCAGGCTTTCCTTCACATCATCTGAAGTGTTTTTCTCCTATGGGCACAGAAGATATTTCAGCTACACAAAGATCTACCATTGCTGCTAAGTGTCTCTGATTTGTTCATTTCTCTTCTTCTAAGACATACAATATTCCTTTCAGAGTGAGCCGGCAGTTGAATCAGATAAGAACCAATTAGCTAAGCATGCTCTACTTTTTCACTGAAACGGCATGCCTCCCGTACCTGATGGCTCCACAGCTTTAGTCTCTCTTGTCAAATATTCCTCATTAAGAATGTGTGGGTTCACTGAACTAGATAAGTCAAGGTTATTAATTTTCACCATTGTTAACACAAATGATGGAAGGGACACTAGGCATGAAACTAGGGCTTAAGAGATGGCACTACTGTGAATCCATTCCCCTTTGCCCTCAGAAGTGCATGTAACTTCCTTAGAAACTTGAAAAAGATTGACATTTATATTTACACTCAATGATGTAGATTTTAGTCTCTTTAAACAATTACACTGATGTTTATTTTGGAGCAATCAATAAATCCCTGGATCAGACAGCAAGAGAACTGTCAAGATTGCTTTGTACAGGATTCTGCTCTGAACTATGTAAAAATGCTTTTATATACTCATAAATTAAAGGCAACCTTTCTTGGCATTTTTAAGTTGAAAGGAAAAGAGGCAATGATTCGGTGAGAAAGAGCTAGTTTCAGTTTCATCTTTAAAATGAGAGAAGGTTCAATCTTTGCGTAAACTTACTTTTCACTTTTTAAAATTATCTCAATGTATTTTCTTTAAACAATTTTCAACAAACTTCAGAACAATTAAGGGTTCTGCAGAATGGGAAATCAATATAAATTAGATATTCAGAAACACCTTACAGGAGAAGTCATTATAAAATTAGACATTCACAAACAATTTGATACAAGATTTTGGTAAAGACTTTATTGTGTAATATTTACATTTATTACTAAAAGTGGCCAGCATTTTTTTGTATATTAATATTTATAGATAATCAAGAAAATATCTTTGGAATTACTTATTATGTTGAAGTCGTCATTTTTATATGTATTTAATTGCATATTTTATAGTACTGTACATGACTGTGGACTAGTATTTAACAAAATCCATGCTTATTCTGTGTGTCTAAACCTTTATTCCCACCTCCCTTTTAAAATTAATTTAGTTAATGAGATAATTGCTGTGCTAACATCTTTTGGGGAGTTTTATATTGAGTCTCTCTTGCCCCACATAATAGGATATTGTATATGTTAAAATATATATGTGGCAACAAACTCAAATTCATTCTGTTTGAGTCATCGCTACAATGCAGGATTTCTCAATCTCAGTGCTATTGACATTTTGTCACAGTTAAATCTTTATTGAGGGAGGGGGAGAGACTGTCCTATGCATTGTGATATTATCAACATTCCTAAACTTTATATACTAGGTTCCAGTAGTACTCCCCTGCAAAGTTCCAACAACCAAAAGTTACTGCAGACATTACCAAATGTCCCTTGGGGAGCAAAATGACCCTCAGTTAAGAAATACTGCTATGGGATCAATAGTAATAGGAAAAAAAATTCACTATTAAAAATCATGCATTCTGTTCTCACTCATAGGTGGGAATTGAAGAATGAGATCACTTGGACCCAGGAAGGCGAACATCACACACCGGGGCCTGTTGTGGGGTTGGGGGAGGGGGCAGGGAGATATATCTAATGTAAATGACGAGTTAATGGGTGCAGCACACTAACATGGCACATGCATACATATGTAACAAACCTGCATGTTGTGCACACGTACCCTAGAGCATAAAGTAGAATAAAAAATAAAAATAAAAAAATAAAAATCAGGCACTCACAATTTCCTTACATGAGTTTGGAATTTTTTTTCTTCTCTCTCTTTTATAATGCTGACGCTTTGAAAATGCTAGGGAAAAAAGCCTAGTATGACTACATTCATATTTATACCATCTTAGCCAAATTAGGATCATCTGGAAACTGATCTTCCTGATTGGAGAAAGTTAGAGAAAGAAGACCGTTTGAAGGCTGAGCTCCTACAGGCAAACATACATGAATATATAGTGAGTTATTTGTCAAATGCCTAAATCTTGAATAATTGCACCAAGTATACTTTATTTAATATTTTCAGAATGTGTAGACAGTATTCAAAAAGGGGGCTTATGTATTCAGCTGAGACAGAAGGGCTCAGCCCTTCATCATCCATTAACACTTAGCAGTGGAGAATACAAAATTGCATAACGTCACTAAGCACTAAAAGCTACACTATCCAATATGAAAGCCACTAACTGGATGAAGTTATTTAGACAAATGAAATAAAATAAAAATGTATTTCCTCTTACGAATCACATTTAGTCATTACTGTCATACTAATCACATTTTAAGCACAAAATATTCACGGTTACTATTTTGAGCAGCACAGATATAGAACATTTCCATCATTTACAAAAAGTTCTATTGGACATCACTGACCTAAAATATTCAAAGTACCCACTTACATAATTACTTATTCATCTAACGAGCATTTCTTAAACCTCTATGTGTCAGGTATTGAGTACTCTAGCCATTGAATATACATTTGTATATAAAACTAAGTCTCCATTCTCAAAGTCACGTGAAGTGTTTTTGATAGCTACTGTCTAAAGTAACATACTCTTTTGGGGCTGTGTTTGGCCAGGCACAGCATTATTTTTAGACCCTTTTTCTTCTATTGGCACCAGTCCACTGGTGGAAAAGGGGCCACCAGAGACTTATGGTTGAGGCTGCGATGGTCAGAAACTGGATTTTCAACTGACCTTAGAAAAAGATGAAAGAACTTCTCTATTTAATAGGATATTAAAGAATCAAAAGAGTTTTTGTCGTTTTTTAAATCAAGAGAGTATTTCTTTTAAGCCAGGAAGATATGCTAATGGCAACAAAGCAAGAGTAACAACTAATGGAAGAGCATCAGAATGACTTAGTCACACAGATTAAAAACCACATATGACTATTTAAGCAAGCAGCCAACCCAAATACAATGAGAATTGGATTGCATAATCCATTAATGTCATTTTATTGTAGTTAAATACAGCAAATGTGGAAATAGCAGGTCACTGGGACCCACATTGTTCAGGAAAAGCAATAAAGTTTGACCAAATGTGTTATAGTATGCTGCCATCTGCTGGTGCATGTTATTTAAAAAACATAGTTTATTTTACAGTTTACCCTTGAACAACCTGGATTTGAACTGCACAGGATCTGTATTAGTCTGTTCTCATGCTCCTAAAAAGACATACCTTAGACGGGGTAATTTATAAAGGAAAGAGGTTTAATGGACTCACAGTTCCACATG